GTTCCATAATGCGTGATGATTAAGTGATATAAGAAACATATCTTAGCAGTTTTGAACGGACCCACATACCTGAGTATGTATTCAACTTCTGGATTTTCATGTGGGCACTTCAGGTGGGGAGGCCCTATGCAATAATTAGCATAGAAACCAACCGGGTATTGAATAAATTTGTCCCATCCTGAAACTCGATTGCTGAGTAATGGTGGGTAAATAGAAAAGCTAATCGTAAGTGTAAAGGACTCAACCGATTTCGGTGAAGTTCACGTAATGCTTCACGAGACAGCATTCGACTGATGGATTGCATTTTCTATTGGTTTGGCCGTCATGGTAGGTGAAATCGAGTTCTGGTGGCCCATCGAAATAGTCGAAATAGGAAGCAGGGCGTCCGTTAGCCAGCACTTCTACCTAAAATGGCTGGCAATCAGACTGTACTGTGCCCCCATTGAAAGCGCTAGATCTGTTTATGTGTGTCCGTTTGTCCATGTGTCAAAAAATTCGATTTACCTGATAACCACCTGGAGAGGTTTCGTTAAGTTTTGGATGGGTAGGACATGGGTGATGAAGTACAAACCATATCGGTGGGCGGTTCTCCGTCCGTCGGGTGTGCCGAATTGGATGGTTCCGGTGGTGATTTCTGAGTTCGCTCCAAGAACAGCCCAAAAAGCGGAAAGTTTGTAAAGCTGTACACTGGGTTGCTATTTCGAATTTCCCATGCGGTATGTAAAGCGTTCTCTACATACATGGGCGGCGATTAGCATAAAAAATTCACAACGCCTTAAAGGCAGCGATTACGATAAAGTGGGAGCGCATCGGGAAGCATATGCACCACACGAATCAGTTACTTGGCTGCCAAGGAAGCGAGGTGTGGCGCTTTCACGACGAAAGGTGCGCTGGTTGCTGAGCAGGACTTCGAAAGCACTCCGCCCCAAAGCGATCCGCCCACTAGTTTAGTTGGTGATTTGGACGAGCTGCGTTGCCAGCAGCGGCACAACTGGAGCAACTCGATTGGAGCGTGGTTTGGCATGGTGCCACCAAACGCGTTGCACTGAACTCGTTCATAGAAGAGCATGTTTCAAAAGGTCCGCACTTGACGAAAGAGTAGGGTCGTCACAGTGGGCGGAGGAAGCCCCTAGGTGGAGGTGTTTTCTACAAATCCGTAACATTTGGGTATCGAAGAGGCGAAGGAGCCGGAAGCCGGAGTGTATAAGAAGGAACATCAAGAGCGATAGAAGGACAATTTCTATAAGTGGGCGGGGTGTGCACACATGTGGGCGGAGCTAGCCAAAACCCCCTTGATGGGCGGAGACCGGGAAAAAAGTGGATATGCTTGACGAGGGAGGGAAGATCAAGTGCTCGCGAGAAGATGGCTGTGCTCTGAAGTAAGCGAAGCTCAAATTCAAGATTACGGTCAAGATACTGGAAATGGAAATGAGAAGAAAAGCGAATAGGGACTCGCGGAGGGGGAGTATCCAAAACCGAAGTGGATTGATAGGTAGGGCTGAAGTCAAAAGATCTCAGCTGCACTTTTCAATGTCCCCGGGATTCAATATGTAGTGCGCGCGATAGTGTGGGGAGCCAAACTGGTAACATATACATGCGGGGTAACTCACTAAATATTGGTGCATAAATAATGATTTATTGATCACATTTTCAAAGGGAGTGAGAAGGCTATTTACATCTAAGAAGATTTTTGTGTTTTAATATAAGTGATGCACAAACAATACGTTACGTATAGAATGCGTTCAGGGCCCTCTACGCGGTTAGCGATTTTGAGGCTTATTCAAGCAGGGTTTGTCTATCGTTGGGTTACTTTTTCCGAAAATTTTACGAACCCCTCCAACGTGGATTTGACCGACAACTTTCCTATGCGCCACATCTCATCTTCCGGCCAAAAACCACGCCATTTTTCTCCAAAGCGCGTGGGAGGGGGGAGAGGGGTATATACGCCCGCTGAAACGGCAAATTTTTATCCTGCGCGCCCTCCACTCGCCCAGCCTACTACCCACGAAATCTTAGTTTCACTCAATCCCACACGTGATTTCGAGCGACTAAAGTGGGTACGACCCCCCCCCCCCCCTACAAACTCAATCAGTCGACCCCTGCCCGTTTGTTATGGTACGAAGTTTAGGTGTGAGCCTCGGGCTTTCAGTCGCTGGTCAACTGACATCGCCTATAGGGACCGCAGAAGCTGAATGCAAATTCTTCACGCCGTGTCAACGAACCTTGCAAGGAGTTTCAACTTTCGATGTGGGGCTCAGAATGCCCATATTATGCTGAAAGAAGCTTCAGACCGCATAATCCATTGGGTTCAAACCGAGCGAGTCAGATGGCCAAATATCTTTAGGCCGGTAACCCTGAAAGTGACGGTCACCGCCCGCCCCCCAAACTGGGCATTGATTTACGGACTAGATTTTTGGGCCATGAAGGCACATTCTTGCTGAACATGCAGGTTTAAGCTCACTGGAGATCGAACAGTCTGCGGAAGGAACACGTCACACAAAATTGTGCCCTGGTAAGTTTAGGCGTTGATTTTGGCGGAGTTGTCCACAAAAACAAGCAATGATTCGGTTTCAGAAGTAACACCTGCCCACACCATGACAGATTTTGAAAAATCGGTCGTGTGTGGAACATACTAGAGGCAGGAATGTCCGCTTGCCCGGTCAACGGAATGGGTCGTTTGGGAATTGTGGAACCATTACATGTGTAAGAGGTCTTCTTCTTCACGTCACACTGACATCAATTTTTAGGGTCACGATGGACTTAGTGAGAAAGTTGGAGCAGATATCGCTATCGGTTACTGCGGAGCATTGCGGAGCACCTTCTTTGGGACTATGTAATTATTATGTTTTATTGTGTTATAAATAATTTTCTGAGGTGTAGTAGTTCTCTTTTTGCTGAAAATGTGGGTAAAAAAAACAAACTTAACCGGTGCAGTTATTTATTTATCACTGTATAACCAAAGTTAATGCTGCAGGAAGCATTTGAGAACCTGTTCACCTTTCGCGTCGACCAACGTGTCGAGATCGAATCTTTTGAACCAGTGCCCAGCGTTCTGAAGAACTTCTATCCGAACACTTTCAATGTCATCCGTTTCATCCCTGTCGATGACTCTTCTGCCAAGGAGACCCTTTGAGCCTCCTTCCCACAGCTCGTACAACGCCACAATGAGCAGCCGTGGTCTTCGCCTTCCCGTTCGCCTGCAGTATTTTAGTTGAGAGTCGAATGACAAGCAAAGTTCTGACCTCATAGTAAATTTCGCCGATGTTGTAGGCATTCCTGGATGGAACGGCGTAGACGAAGCAATCCGAAATTCTGCTGCTGCTGTTCAAGGAGCATATGCCTAAACTTAGGTTTAATAGCCCTTGCGAGAGTAGTTCACTCAATTGGCAACCTACCTCTGGTGTATTGGTCAGTATTGTCTGGCTGATTTTGCCGTGTCGAATGGCTTCTGCAGCTGTCGTTTTCATGTTATAAGCCTTATACAGGTTCAGTTCATTCATCATCATCGTTCTCACCTTCAAAAACACCAAATCACACATTTTTAGAATTTTTCTCGAAATAAAGAGAATTTCGAGATGACAGTGCAAGGTTCTTGTTTGAAATTTAAAAAAAAAACTAGCTAATAGTTGATTCACTACAGGGTGCACCGAAACAGCGTGTGTGCGCGAGTCCTATTCATTATTTTCTGATATCTCCACGTCCATCTCCTATCTAAGCACTACAAAACAAGGTACTTTTCCTTCTGAAATTGAATTCCTGCGCTTTACAAAAGACATCATGGGACGGCAACCCTCAAATTGAATCGATTAAGATCTGGTACACTACATTTAGTGGCAGATCAGCGTAAAGTAGATGCTCGTATGGATAATGGCTGAAAATGTCAATATGTTTGCAACCATTCCAGGGTAAAATACGGAAGTTTGATGGGTCACGGTAACCACTATGATAAATATCGTATGCAGAAATCCGCTCTCCTTAAAGCAACAATCCAAGAACGAATTCGCGGGCAAAGACCACCGATAATGAGTTGTAGGTGAGAAGTTGGTCAATGGAGAAAGAAAAAGTAGAAAAAAACGTCGGGCAGGGGCTTAGACAGGGACTCCCCCTCTGCCACTTAGCAATGGAGGAAGACGCTGTTGGACGAGTTGTCTGAACATGCCCGCAGTAAATGCGCCCCAATTGCAATTGCTGGCAAGTAGCCAGCAATTGCAATTGGGGCGCAATAATGAAATCGTTTCATGTTTTGAAGGTAGAAGGAAAAAACGTAGAAATCCAGCGTAGTCGGCATCACCACATCGATTGCTCTCAAATATCCCCGGGGTCCCAAGACGACCGTAAGGCCGATGTCATAGTTTGCGAATCGAGCGATTCGCTAGCGAACAGTTCACTGTCACTTTGAACAACACGTCCACTGTCACGTGACACTGTTTGAAAGTGGCGGGCTTCCTTTAAACGTTGGGTCCCGCCACTATTGAGTCGCTGGTACCTAGTTCGACTCGCTGGTACATCGTTCGACTCGCTGGTGCAAAGTTCGATTCGCTGGTGCAACGTTCGATTCGCTGGCGCAACGCTCGGATCAGCGATTCGCTAGCGAATCGCTCGATTCGCAAACTATGACATCGGCCTAAATGTCTGCGCAGCCAATCACGCACTCTTCACGACAGAAGTGGGCGGCCGTACCGAGGCTCGGTGGATCCGCCCACTTCGACGGCGTTAGACCCCCTTCCAACGCCTTTCAAAGGTAAGTTTTCAAATCAGTGACATTTCCTATGTACTTGACTAGGGCTAGTGCATGTTTCCACCCTTAGGATCGAATGGTTGAAACCCTCCTTGGACTGCTGCTTAAGGTTTTCGCGGCTGAAAATGAGAAAAAAAACCGATGTAATAGCCCTCTAAGAGGCACAACATCCATCGTGAAGAAGCCGTTCGAGTACATGGTTTTGAGCTTTCCAACAGATCAGATCACCTAGTCATAAAGCAAAAATGCGCAAAGAAGAAGTTTTGGTATTCACGACGGCTCATGGGGATTATAGTTATTTTATTGATTTTTATGGATTATTTATATAGAATAGTATTTATTATTTTTACTTGAACTTACTTATTACGATCTTGGAAAAAAGGCGAAACAGATGGTTAGATCGGAATTATAATGCACTTTACACAATTTCACGCCACCGATCACACCTTCCCCCCATCCTGAAGCTCGTGTAAATGCACTAGGTAGGGCGCATCATTCATAATCTGATTTGGTCCTGTGGTATGACGGACTAACACTTCACCGGGGTTCATATCGGATGCTATGCTGGATTTTACGAAATGGTTGTGGTATATCGTGAGTGTGACAATCGGTACAATGTATGACCTTGATTTGAAGTGGAGCTCACAGGAGGATGTCGAAGGCGAAGGCAAGGACGGGGATGGGTCAGCGGACATTTGATGCTCGATGCGATCTGGGGCGCACAACATTACATTCTATTTAACAAGGTGAATACAGGCTAACGCGCAGGCGCGTCAACATTTGATGCCGCACTGGTCTTTCTGACGCGCATGCGCGTCAACAACTTGGTACCCGCTTTTTTCCACACATGTGCGACTTCTTCGGGATTTTTAATGCTATTTATAGAACACAATCATGTGATGTTAACGTTGTGGGGTCCACAAGCTCGGTTTTTAAATATGTTTTTTGTCTAAGGCGAAGTTGCTGGCTAGTGAGCACCTAAGAAGCCCTTCCCATGGCTAGAAGTGCTGGGTACGCAAGCAAAGGTAGCGCTTCCCTTTCTACATCGAAACGCGTCACTAGGACCCTAGGCGCCATGGACTTCTAACAGACTCCACCAAACTTAACATGGTCCGCCCACCGTTCGATATCTTGTCTGCGTCGCTGCGTTGATCTGCTATGCTCTCTCTTCTCGGACTTCTCTACCACTCTCCGCGCTCACATTATCTCTCATCTCCCTGCCTGTCTTTTGAACTTCTCCACAGCATAGAGCAAAATGCTCGTATTTCCTGTGTATTTCAGGATTTTCTTTCCTTTTTTCTCCACTGGCGGTCCACCTCCCATCCCTACTTTCACATTTGAGTGGAATCACCCCATCAATTTAATCCTGATTCTTGCCTTTAAGTGAAGAATTTCTGAGCCTTCCTAAATTTTCCGTTTAGTTCAATCTTCGACTACTATTTTGGGGTAAAAAAGCATAAAAACAAAATATAAATGCAAACAACAATGTGATACATAATGTCAAGGAATTACGGTTCTATGGATGATGCTTGTGTTTTTCATTGAAGCAGTCTATACAAAAGAATTTTCTACATCTTCCGCGCCTCAACCCTTTTTGTTTTTGAAGCCGCAAAGAGATCCTTGCTCTTTAGACATAGTTGCATAAAGTTCTAAACACTTTCTGCTGTTAATTCCTTTCGAACCTTTACCTTCTTCTTCTGACATCTGTCACGTGGGAAGCAACTGGCTTGGGAAGTATTCACGCTCAACGTTCAGCAGTGATTCGACCACTTTCTTGGAGTCATTTATCCGAAGAGATATGCACATTCCAGCTTTCCACGCATGTCATTCGAATCGCCGACCCTCCTCTCTCCCCATCCCCAACTGGCTATACTCCTCCCAGACTCATGGATTCCTTATTCTGCATTGATGTCATCACTAGTATTTCTTGAGAGGGATTGAGACAAGCAGCGTGCGTCTTCACCG